TATATATATATATATGTATATATATATATATATATATATATATATATATGTATATATATTTATTTATTTATACATATTATATATTATCTCGCTTTATATACTGACATCTTCTAAGATGTTCTTGCTGCTGTAGATAACTGCTGCAGTAATCCTCAGCAAATCTAGGGTTTAGGGTTTAGGGTTTAGGGTTTATTGTTTTTTTTATTCAAAACCCACAAAGAACAGCGAAAAGAGCAACGATTGAGGGTTTCTGCTTGCAGAACATTTCAGGTGTACGTACAGCTGGCGTGTTCTTACGCTGCTTCTCTAGTTGTATTACCCCGCCGATAAGCCACGCAAATGAATCTTATCAGGGTTTAGGGTTTAGGCTTTAGGGTTTGTGGTGGAGTGTATAGACAGCGATGCAGCTGATTTACCATAGTGACTATCTGCAATAGATGAGCTGAAACAGATTCAGCTTTCGTTTGTCGCAAAGTTTTCTAATCGAATTGAATATATATATAATATATATATATTTATTGTAAATATATATATATATATATATATATATGTATATTTATTTGTTTATATATTTATATTTTACATGTACGGTGTGTGTGGTGACCCTGTGTCGTCGGTGGCCTGAGGAATGTGCAACTAAATTTCGGGTTTTGGATTTGAATTCGTGGAAATAAATGAAAATAAAATATTTTATTTTTTATATTTTAAAATTTTTTTGTTGAAACGGCAAATTCGTGTATTCTCTGCTCTCGTTCATGTTTCAGTGGTTCGGTCTGACCACCGCCTGGTTACCCGTTAGCTTTCCGCTTGAACTGCGGGAAATTTGCGCATAAAAGGATTAAAATAAGCAAAATAAATTAAAAAATATTAATTAATTTGTATTTATTTAAGTTATTATTGAAGTTTCTCTCTGCAGATGCACGAAATTTGCGTGTTCCTGCTGACTCGGTTGCTTCGCCTTCTGAAACGCCGCGGATCCATATATGCACTTGTTAATGATGAAACGGCGCGGAAAGCAGAAAATTAAAACTGAAATAATTAACTAAAAGTGTTTAAATACAAAATAAAAAACAAAAATTTATCAATGAATCAATAGAAATCCTGCAATCAGGGTTTAGGGTTTAGGGTTTAGGGTTTAGGGTTTAGGGTCTGGCGCTGCTCACCCCAGCGGCTCTGGGTGTGTGCGTGTCTATACAGTGGGTGTGCCGCAGCTCTTTTCACTGTTTATTTTGTGATTAAAAAAAAGACAATTACTAATTTGTTCTTGTTTAATCGCATACAAAGGTTAACGTCTCGGATTTTCTTGGCTTTTCAGAGTTTTTTCTGGCAGCAACCGCCAGGTGTCTAGACACCCCAAACTCTTCCGCAAGAAATGATCGCAAGGAGGCGAGAAACCTGAACATAAAATAGATGCAAAAACATTTAAAATGTATAAAATCAATCTTCTTTATGGTGAGAACATTCATGTCAGGGAAATACCCGAATTTAATCGGCCTTTCCACCTCTCTTTCGCTGTTCTTTTTCTGCATGAGAGTGCTGCCTCTGGGGTGAATACAGCACAATAAGGGCTTTGTTTGGCCCCCATAGATATATTTTATCGTATTCTATCTGTTTGTTTTTAAATATAAAGGGTTAATAGGCTCAGAGGAGGCTGGATATGGGTGCAGTGACCATTGCAGGTCTCTAGCTAGGGTTTAGTATCTAGGGTTTAGGGTTTAGGGTTTAGGGTTTAGGGTTTAGCGAAATTCACTTCTGCTTTTGCTGTATCTTCAGGGCCTCTCCTTGGGGCCCTAGGCCTCGCCTCTTCTCTTGCAGGCGTCGAGGCCTTTGGGAAAGCTGGTGAGGAGACGGAACCAACACATGCTCAGCGTTGCTGCTGCTGCTGCTGCTGCTGCTGCTGCTGCTACTGCTGCTGCTGCTGCTGCTGCTGCCCTGCACTGCGTCCGCATCTCCATCCTTTTTGTTTACCTTCCCGTTGCACGCACCGCCATTTGCTTTCTCTTATATATATATATATATATATATATATATATATATATATATATATATATATATATATATATAT